CTCCAATATGTCTATATCTGCACCCGTGCAGTATGTATGAGAACAACGTATACTACGCTCGTGTATTCATTGCTGCATGCACGCATATAGTTCTACCTCGCAATAGTTGCGCGGTGTTTAAGTTTTTAACCCTATAGCTATACCTACATCTAAGGAGACTTCAATGTTCGGGCACGAAATACTCATTCAGGGATCGTACAATCAAGGCAGAACGTTTTCCAAGTTTTCCAGGAGCGTTAAAATGGCGAAAAGGATTTTGCCGATTGCATTTTCGCCTCGTATCTAATTCCAATCATATGAGTGAACAAACTTTTGCATGCATCAGGTTTAATTGCTTCTCAGACAAGGACGACATGAACCAATTTTCTACCACTTTCTAGGACTATAGCCTATTTTTCAGGGCTTTTAACGGGAAAGGACTTGGAAACGGCAAATTAAAATACCACGACTGACTAGGTTTTCTAGGACCCAAAAAACCCTGTATATGAACGGTGGCGCCATCGTACGGAATAATAAACCAGCATCCCTCCGTTGCCAAAACATCGATCCCGCATCACCACAGCAAATGTTTGCGGCCACGGCGTGGTTTCCTGTTAACTGCGAATGACTAGTTTTTTTCGGGGCACGTGCGGCACATGGTTGACCTTGCTTGACCTTGCCTCATCTCCGTCCTCCATTGACGGCATCGTCAGCTTAAAATGCTCTGCAAAGATTCGTGTCTATTAGCTCAGCATTCCGGCAATAGTACGCAGCGAATATTACCGATATAACTGATGGAGTTGGGATCTGGACAGACCGTCGCGTGACCAGAAAACGTAGAAACGTACATAACTTCACCTCGTTGGTTATTTGCAATTATTTTTATTATTGATTAATTAATTACTGTTAATCTTCGGCACATTTTTAGCTCACTTTTGTAGCCCTTTGCTTCACCAAGTTGCCGAGCGAGAGCATACACGGGTAGAGCTACGCGTACTATTGAATGTATAATAAGTCTCATGACAGCGAAGGAAACACGGTGGCGCCTCAGCCGCCTCTCATCAACACAACATAAATCGTATGTTGAAAGCGTAACGAGGAATAGTAAATAACAATGGTAATCAGCAGCCGTTGATTTGATGCGTACTCTCACTGCTCTCTTACCCTACCTGTCTCGCGGCCTATTGCGAAGACACCGAAGATGTATTCTCCCGGGCCGTACACCTGCTTGCCTAGCAGCATGTTCGCGTACATCTCACCCCACACCGTCATGTCCAACTTGTATGATCCATTCTGCAAAAAAATCGTGGTAAGTATTATTGCGTTCACACTTGTAATAATCTCGGTATTTCGATCGCGATGCAAAAACCGGGATTTGCATCCCGCTTATTCGCGCCAGTGTGAACGCGCCTAATATAAGCACGCGCATGCACGCGCGCACGCACGCACACCATGTCTGAGCCGGATAGGGTTGTGAATATACATCCACGTTACGGGCCACATGGTTCCATAGAGGGAGCCGGCTAGATACCTCTTACTTTCCGAGAATTTCGACCACTGAGTTGTATATATATAATAACAGCGCTGTTATCAAAAACGCGAAATGCATATAACATCAGTAGTGTCATAATATAGTCTATATTATAGCACTCCTGATAACACGAGGTGCTATTACATACAACTCAGTGATGTCGACTATACGCGAATATTGTGTATATGAGCCATTCGTTCTCGTTACTTCGTATCGTATATTGCATGGTATCTTATCGTGTCGTACCGCATCGTATCGTTTCGTATCGTGTTTCGTATCGGATAGTATCGCATCGTAAAGTATGTCGTGTCGCGTGTATCGTAGCGTACGTTATTAGACGTAGAGGATCTGCTCGTTTGTATCGAGTAGTGATACACCGAATATGTTGGAAGCTTACACACAAGTACATAATTATTATCACTTTGCTATGCTATACGCGATAGACTCACTGCGTTTATGTTTGGTAGCAATATCTCTGACCTGCTTATATGTCGAACGCGACATCACCCAATACACAAAACAAGCTGCTTCTACATGGTTTCACGTCTAGAACAGAAGGAAGGAATGTAGGAGGAGCATCCATCCACCCACTTTTCGCTCCATCCAACCATCCATTTATCAATTCATCCATCCTTCCATCCATCCGTCCATCCATCCATCCATCCATTCACCCATCAATCCATCAATCAATCAATCAATTAATCAATAAATCTGTCCATCCATCAATCCATCAATTCATGCATCCATCAATCACTCGAGCAATCCATCCATCTTCCTTTCATCTCTATAACTATCCTGGTGCGGAGCAAATGGCTACACATGCAGATCCAACCAACGCGGTATACGCTGGCGGTATTATTTACCGCGCAGTGTTCTAGCGCCATGCTGGTCTGTGTCGCAAACACTCCCACACACACACACACAAACGCACACTCACACAATGGAGTATCACCCTAGTTTTCCCACATCATCACCGAATTCGGTAACCAAACGAGCAAGTGTAACAGTGCCCAGTTAATTTGTAGATTAGTAAAGTCATTAATTTCAAATATTCATGGTAAAATTATACATGTGAATAGCTAAGGAGGCAACACACAGGATGTTCATTCTACTGCGTAGACTCACACCCGGACCTGTGAAGGCAGAATTCGGAGCAGACCGGACCTGCGCAGTTGAATAGCATAGCGCCGAGTACACGTGTGTCTACACGTGCGTGAGACGTGATTGCTTGATGTTTAACTCGTTGTTAGGGGAGAACCTGTGCACGTGTACGCAGTGTGGTTTCACACGCGGGTAGAATCATATGACGTCACCTTGCTGGTCATAATATATAGACACACCTTGGGAGCTCTTCCTAGAGGTGTGCGCGCATATATTCTCACTGTGTTGGAAAAGACTGACGTACGGACGGACGGACGGACGACTTCAGAGACTGACGGACGGACAACCTCAGAGACTGACGTACGTACGGACAGACGGACAGAGGCATATGTTATCAAGAGCAGATAAAGAAGGACCTGTAAGTAAATGTAAATAAAGAAGGACCTGTAAATAAAGACCTTCTTTATCTGCTCTTGATGTTATGCTAATATATTTCTGGACTCTTGCTCACGAGTGTGTCGTGAGCGATAATAAATTATTGTGCGTGGAAAACTCACTTACGGATTTGTGAAATCATTGGTGTTATCTTCGTTACTACGCCTCACCAGACACAGGGGAACTAGCTGACATTCCTTCAAGCGGAAACGCAAACACGAAACGAGACAAAGGGTTAAGCACAATAACACAACGCAGTATTTAGAACATTACCACCTACACGATCACGTGCCTACTCACAGTCGGGCACTGTCCCGACGTAACTAATTAACATGAACTGAAACTTAACCGAACAAGGTTTCACAAGCAACTTTCTCGCTCTTAATTCGCTCTTCGCTCTTTCGCTAAAATACGAACTGCGCAGTTTGTCTCAAGTGACAGAATACACTTGGCCTGTGGCCGGGTTATTCCTGACAAACTATAGGTCATTTTAGCTTGCGTGGCACACAGAATACGTATGCGAGTTCCAACAACACGCTGATACTCACTAGCGTAGAGACCCGTGCCACAGTGCCCGTACTCTTCAGCCAGCTTCCCATCTCGTGTTACTCAACCGGCTATCATCCCTATTCGGTACTATAGCAGCACAAGTGTTAATTGCTACTGCCATGTGCTGCTACGTCCGTGTAAACTGCATGCTTACAATATATTCTACAGCAGCAAACGTTCGATCGCTCCTTCGCCCTTCCTCCTTCCTAAACCTGCTGATTTAAATGCCGATTTCCTTTTTTCGCCAAATTTTCTTTTTCACGTAAATTAATGAAGGGGACTTTCTTTCACTCTCTGTCAACTCGCCATCCAGGGTTCGTTCCACTAACGATATTATAAAAAAGTGGTAGAAATTAACTTTTACCCAAGAGAGTCCAATGAAATCCCTTCCTCCAAGATGGATTCCGTGAGGGAAAACGGAGTAAGTCAACAGCAAAATAAATTCGTACAAGTCAAACTAAATAGCGGAAGTAGAAATTACTGTGTGATCTGCTTTATTCACTGAATCACTCTTGACACTAATTGACAATTGAATCAGCCAATGTTTTCGGATGTTTAGTACAGCTGAAATTTTAGTGCGTCGCCCGGGCACTACTGCACATGCTATATCAGAAGGAGTGTATAATATCAGAAGTAGATAATATGGAACCCTATTATCTACTTCTGATAATATCTCTATATTATACACTCCTGATATCAGTGAATGTTGCAGCAAAACAGGGCGTATTTGACAACGGATTCTATGAAGATCTTGAGCACCTGTACGTAGTAATTAGCGTAGCAGTGAGACACGTTGCGCTCTCAGACGTGTGAGCGTACACTGCGCATGACCAGCACGAGGCAGGAACAGCCCGCGATGAGTGGGCGTGCCCAGAGGGACCCATGTTTCCAGGAAATGTCATTAACACGGAGGTTGCGGTAGAAGGTGAAGGTATGTATGAAATCAGAGATAGGGAGGTTTGAGGCGAGCTTAATTTAACAGTGTCATCATTTCGCGAATAAAATCGTCAACGTCAATCGGCGATAGTCACGCGCATCAGCGCATCGCGTTTGTTGCCTTTGTTGTTGTTGTCGTCGTTGCCATTGTTGTTGTTGTTATTGTTGTTGTCGATGATGTTATTAATATTATCGATGATGTTATTATTATTATTATTATTATTATTTCTAGCACTTGTCATGATAAAGTTTTGCTTTACCGACTGGCTCGATCTTATCACACACGTGGGGGTTGGGCACATGGATGTAAATACGCACGTGAGTACGCACACACCCACCCACTCATCCATCCATCCACACACGCATGCACGTACCAGCGCGCGCTCCCACTCACGCACCTACAAACACACAATTAATGACACTGAATAGTGAATAACAAGTTGCCACGTGATACATTTCAGACGTGTTCATTTATTCCTAGCTGCTCGGCGTTTCCCTGCATTCACTGCGCGCGTATATCCTAGATGCACTCTCATGCTAAGCGCATAGCGCCTAACTTCGCGACAGAAATTACCAACGCCTTTCTCGCCTAATGCATGCAGCTGCATAATGCTCTCATGGATTCATGTATCAGCAATATTTGCGCAAATACAAATTCACGTATGGTAATTGATCAATGAATCACAAACTGTTACCTGTCGTAGAAATAACTACGAGATTCCAGAACATCAATACCATCGCAGGACCATTCAACGTGTAACTGGTTATAATGTATTGCTAGGTTTGTATGTTAATTGATGTATACAGCGTACTGAAGACCACGGTTGCGCATCATAAACAAACAATGACGCTGTAGACGTAGACATAGACAGATATGAGATTATACACGCCCGCAGGTGCCAGTATTTGCTAGCTCAACCATCACCAGACGCCTGCAGCACAATCAAATGCCGTCACGACTCCAAAATGTTGGTGAGTTGATGGATAAAAATATTTTGAATTCCAAACTTGTGGTGCATTATTTTATTTAGCAATATATTCTAGATGCATCCAAAGAAAGGCACACGAAGAAAATGCGCGCACGAGTGGGCAGGCGCGTGTAACGCCACCACGACCTAAACCCGAGGGATCTCGAGTCGGTTTTCGGCAAAAATACCCGATTTTCACCGCTCATTATCTCAGCGTAGGAGCATCGTAGGGACAAGCGGTTTGTTTTATGTTAGTAAGGTAGGACAGCTGATCAATAAAAGAATCGTTAAAATAAAACGGGAAAAGTTTCTTAATTCGACTAATACTGCACCATGGTTTTAGCATTTCACCGTTATACGCTCTCCTTCTTAATACGCTCTTGATTAAATCCATTAATAGAATAAATCCATTCACTTATAGCAATATTATATAAGTGCAAAAGCAATCAAGTCTCAAGTAATTAAGTATTTTAACTATAAATAGTACTTACCCGGATTGCTGTCCAGACTATAATTCGGGCTACAATTTGTATTAGTAACAGCGAATCGAATGTAATGAATCTGCGCTACTAATAGGCTAGTGGAATTACTGAAAAAAGGTGCTGTATAAGGTTCAAGAGGCATTTTGGGGTAAAAGTTGGGAACCAGACTTTTTAACATAATTCGAGTATGCTAAATCGGATAATAATATAATAATAATATAAGTATAAATATGTAGCCAGCCAGCCATTCGCACCGCTATATATATATACTCGCTTATATACAGGCTACATGAGTGGAGGACGAAAGCCTAGAAGGCTTATTCGAACTTCGAAATTCTTAGATAAAATTTAATGTGATAAAAATAAATTTATTTTCGATGAATTGAAATTGAAAATAAAATGAATTCGTAAATTTTGAAAAACTTGGGTATTTGAAATTTGCAATTTTCAAAAACTGGAAAATTTCGGGGTGAAGTTAAGATACCCAACGAAGCGAATTTATAGGAGTAGGAAGACGTAGGAGATATATGATCTATAAAATATGATGAATTAACACGCACGGTCACACACGCCTTTAGTCTTGCCGAGCAATCCTTCGTAGAAGGTCAGATTCGCATCTCGGATCACGTCAGCCAGCTTGGTTGCTTCACTGTTGTGTGCAACCATTTTCTGTAACATCGTATACAACCTATTGCTCTACACGTTCGTAGCCTTACCGCTGTCATGGCCTTGTAACCCGCGCAGGCCTGGGCCTCGACGCACTCCTTCTGCATGCATATGAAATCCCGGTAATATTCCTGCAACTCTTGCAGCGATATGACTCCATCATCTGCAAACCATGACGACTAAAACGTTAGCCACAGAAAGATTACCAGAACCGACCTCGTGATAAGACTATCGGGTCATCTAACACCTCCAAGCAGCAAACTAGAGTAAATATCTCTAATATATGGTTACTTAACCTAATCTATGACTAATAGTACTAATATGTGGTTAGTTCTGTGATGTAGGGCTGATACTTCAAATTTATTGCTAATACTGCTATTCTACGGCAATTACCTCTAAGCTATATGATGAATATTTCTAATCAATAGCTAATACTTATAATGGTTAATATATTATATATTATACATATTATATAATGGTTAGTACTCTAATCTATAGTTATCACTTCTACCTTAATTATAGCTAATACTTCTGCGTTATGGCGCTAATACTTCTTATCCATGGCTAATACGCTCATAGTTATTTATGTCAATTATTTATTAAACAGGTTTGAATCATTTCGCATTACATCCGGGCATCGTTTAGAATGTATTGAAGTCAAGATGGGTGTTAATAAATTCATCACCCGTGTCGAGCAGCATTAACACAGCGAACAATCTACGCCTATAAAAACTCAACTATACGGCTGTGTAAATACTCTGCTATATGGCTAAATAATACTATACTATACGGCTAAGTAAATACTCTGTTATGTGGTTACATAATACACTACTATACGGCTATATAATACTCGCCATCTCTGTCGATGGTCTTGAACAGGGTTTTGCAGTGAAGCTGCACGGAGTAGGGCAGGTCAGTGAGTGCCATCGTACGCTTCAACATCGCTACCCACGCGTCCAGCCACGACTCCAGGCTCACGTCTGTAAGGTAGAAACACGAATCTCAGCGATGACCCCCTGTTGCTTCGAAGAAGGCCAGGGTTGCGTTTACTAGCTCATGACGTCACCCATGTCGACTGCGATTCCTTGCCGCGTGCGCCAATTTCGGTGACAGATAAAAGTGGAGCAGCAAGTTCCACAGCGTGTGCGGCAAGCTTTAGTGACCAATATGCCTATTTCATATCCATTTAACCGGGTGATGCTCCATTAGGAGCGTTCCCAACTTTAATGTTATTAATGTCGTGAAATAAAAGAGATATATGAGGGGGGGGCGGATCGATATAAATTAGATATCAAGGGGGGGTTAGATATCAAATAGATATCGAATTCGGTGAACTTCGCTGGACTTCGCTGCTCGAGCACACGAAATACAGATTGGGGGCATGTTCGCTTTGTTTCGCTGGACTTCGCTGGACTTCGTTGTTCGAGCAACCGAAATCGAGACGAAAGTTATGTTCGCTTCGTTTCGCTCGCCTTCAAGCGAAATATAGAGCGGGGGGCATGTTCGCCTCGTTTCGCTCGACTTCGCTGGACTTCGCTGGTCGAGCAAGAAACATTGAGAGTGGGGTATATGTTCGCTTCGTTTCGCTCGCCTTCGCTGCGCGAGCAAACGAAGTACAGAGCGGGACATGTTCGCTTCGTTTCGCTGAACTTCGCTGGTCGAGCAAGCAACATTAAGAGTGGGGTATGTTCGCTTCGTTTCGCTCGCCTTTGCTACGCGAGCAAACGAAAAACAGAGCCGGAGACATGTTCGCTTCGTTTCCCTCGACTTTCCTGGACTTCGCTGGTCGAGCAAGCAACATTGAGAGTGGGGTATGTTCGCTTCGTTGCGCTGAACTTTGCTGGACTTCGTTGGTCGAGCAAGCAAAATTGACCACATCACGCTATTCGATGATACTGACATATGTAATGAAGAGAA